ACAAACCGAGATTGCCTTCGTAAGTGATGGGAATGATTTCATCAATACCAATTTCTCTTCTAGGGGAACGCCCTGGAGTATCAATTGCTGTTCCGACACCAAGTCCACTGGAAGAAGATGGGTGAAACGCACCTGGCTTCACATACCGCCTATAAGTGATGGTAGGACTGTTGAAGAAAAGCAAGATTTGAATGAAGATCATAAGATGAGTTTGCAGAAAACTGACAGTAAAAAATAGAATATAAAAAAAATAATGTGACATACGTGGTCTGCTGTGTGCAGAGAATTTCGCTACGCTTTCCCGTTCTGTCTGACGGTGACACCCTATTCCGAACAGGTCTGAAGCAAAAATATTGCATGGGAAAAACAATGAAAAGGAGAAACGTATTTCCAAAAACCAAACGCAAAGTTGTAATTGGTGTATGTTCGCATGGAAATTAAAGAGTCAACCTCTTCATCCTATGCATAGCTTTTTTAGGTAAAGACACTCTAAATCAAAATGCCTGGCAGAAAAGATGTAAAATTCACGGATTAGAAGTTTATTGCTGCGATTTGCGAAAGAAACTTTGCCAAAACAGATCTCAAGCCAGGGGGGATTAGATTTATTTTTGTCGTACGCAAAAATTCGTTAGCAAGACAAGCTAGATACTTAAACTTCAGAAAACAAATTTGCTGCAATGTATCAATCCCAGCTACTTCAAAGATGAATTTGGAAATTTCCAAGATTATAAAAACTTTTCAATCAGCAATGCGGGTGCACTAATATTCAGATTGTTATGGGAAGAGTACTTAGATAAATGAGAATTAGTGCTAGATTTTTATGCAAAAAAATAGGAATTAAGAGGTCTCACTTGCTGGGAGGTGTCAGCTTTGTGTAGTCGTCATCGCAACTTGTGGTGGATGTCTTATGTTGAGGCGACAAACGCTTAAAAAATTAAATTGCGCTAGATTCATAGCTCTAAAAGTCAAAAAGTCGTTGAATCAACTGGTATGCATTGAAAAACTTTACCTCATAGTTGTTCGGTGCTGATTTACTCGGCGGTGGAAAAGCCATATTTTTCGAAGATACCGGTGACAACCGTGCTGATGATGGTGCTTCATCAGATTCGATAGAGTGATTGCCGCGTCGAAACTGAAAACGATCGTGCGAGGAAGAAACACCATAAACAAAGGATAACTTACCACATGGAACCTTGACAGCAGTTTTTTGACCTTACTGGTGTCCTCATGATTGCCTTCACTGCGTCGCCCAGTATTCCCAACTCGTCCCGGAAGGAGATGATGGGGGCGATTTTCAGCTAAATGTTTTGATTAGCATACAGATAAACCCGATTTAGGCAGAAGTGGATAATTGGAAGCAGGATGACGTGACAAACTAACAGTAGTTGTTAGCGTATCAACATATTAACATTATTCATGATAAAAAAAACTATCTTTAGATCGCATCCAAACAAACTTTTTAATGTTTCTAGATCGATTCTGGCTGTGACAAAAAAATAATAATACCAAGGTACTAATAAGGTATGGCCAAGAGCACATCTTCTTCAATATGTAAGGTTATGCAAACATAAATATGGATTTCTCTTTGAAAATTTTTGCAAAGGAGATATGATAAAGCCAAGAATTTTCAAAAGAATTTTGTTAAAAGTAAACATGTCTTGTTTTTGCCAAACGTGAACATGTGCCAAGAAATTTCACGGTGGTGATGAGAGGGAATTAGTAGTAAAAAATGTTTGAAGGATTTAATGTTTAGAACTTTGTGCTGGAATGTCGAGATATTTACAATTAGAAGTAAAAACCAATCTTCAATTTGAATTACAAGCTCCAGCTGTACTATCTAAACAACACAAAGACTGCAGGAAGCTTTATAGAGAAAATACAGAAGTCTCATGTGGAAGGAACGTGCAAATAAATACAAACGAACAACGAACAAACCATCAGAGTCCGGAAATTGCACACCACGTTCATGCTCGTTGTCGTTGTGCACCATAACTTGCCGTTTCTTGCGTATAGCATCTTTTCGTTGTAGAGTCCCAATTTTCTTAGTGCATATGACATCCAATTCGTT